GCACAAGGGAAGGCAGGAAAAGCCCCAAAACCTGGATGGAGAAACAGAGCCCCTACCCTGGCTCCTCCGACGGCTGTCACAGGAGAGCCATTGTCCTGTGGGCCAGGGTGACACCAATCACAGTGAGTCCATGGGAGAGGCTCCTGTCCATCACCTTACAGACTGAGGGGGGTTACTGCTTGCAGGGCTTTGGGACACATTATGGGATGCCCAAGAGGAGTATTTGGGGATTGTACAGGATTTATTATGATATATTTAGGGGAGGCACCAAAGGTAGGCAACAGGATGGTTCAAGGTGGTTTGGGAGGAACAAGTTTGGGAAGCTAGAGGAATAAGAGGTAAAAGGGCTGGTCCCATGCAAACCAGTACACTGGCCTGGCTGTGCCTTGTGCCAGATCAGCCCAGTCTTCCCCATCTTCTCATTAAACCCCATTTCTAACTATTTTCCTGGGTGAGGGCACTCTGTGGGTGTGTGAATGGAGGGTCCAAGTGCTAGCAACTGGAGAGACCAGAGTCCATGTCTGTCACGTGGGTCCACATGTCAGGGTGTGATCAAGCAGGACTAGTTGGGCAAGTAGGGTAAGAGGCTTGGGAGCCAGGTATCAAAGTGTCCATAAGCCTTGGTCAGATACTGGAGAGGTCAGATGGCCACAATCCAGTGACTGGAGGGACTGCAAGGTCCAAGCCAGCAACTGAGGAGACTGTTTTCTGTCCATGCTGATCCGTGGCCATCCATCTGTCTGTGCCAGTGCATTGCACGTGTGTATTTGTGTGCGTGTGTACTGGGGATACATGCTCAGGCTCGCTCCTAGCTGGGGCAGGGAGCTGTGGCAACCTTACCTCTGCTGGGCTACCAGATCCTGCAACTTCTAATGTAGAATAAAAATTCTGAGGAAACAGCTGGTATAGCGAAAGAAAATGTCCTCATTTTTCCTTGGAAATGTTTTTTCAAAGAAGACATCTTTCTCTGCTGCTGTTGTTTTGGTCATGAGCCTAGTAGGTTCTTCCTCTGCCACCTCTTGAGTGCAATGCCCAGAGCAAGCAGCTGTGCATTGTGATGGCTTAAAGTCATGTCATGTATCAACAGAGCCTGAAATATAAATAACTTTGATTGGAGCACAGAAAGTTTTAAAAGAAAAAGAAGAGTGCTTTTGAGGCATTTTGTCATTCCCAAAATGGAGACTGCCACATGGATTAATCATCATCTGCATGCTATGCAGTTTATAGCTGCATAACAATAATTACAAATAAATTTATATTCACTCCCGAGCATTGTAGTAAGGTTTCCTTTTCTGAGCTGCTTTCATAAAGTATGGGACATAATATTGTTCATGAGTATGAAGGATATATAGTTTTACTGCTGCAGGAAGAAAGTTGTGAGACAGTAAAGCAACTGAAACTGGTGGGTTTTTGTCCTGAATATCTGGGCTACCTGCCTCACATTTTAGCCCTAATGGCAGTTTCTTAGCTTAATTAGATTTCAGATGCAAAACTCTGAACATTATTTGATTTCCTCTGTCCTTCATGCCTTCCCCAATGGAATGTGGATACACACAAGAAAAAAGAGGAGCCCTCAGATGTCACTAAAATCACTGCAAAAAGTGGTTTGTCCACTGACAGCTTCTCTGAACTATGAGCAAATATGTTTGCTTACTTCAGTTTTGACCTGCTAGAGAAGTAGAATGATGTGGCTTCCCTTAGGGCAATTTCTTCTTAAAATGTGCAGAAGCAGGTTTTTTAAGCAGATCTGTAAATTGAGGTGGACGAAAGATCTTTAAAATCAGTGACTTCCCTGCATCTTCAGTTAGGATCACTTTCTTTTCCTGGTTGACTGGTACCTTGCTTTTGATGTGAAACATGTGCTGTTAGATATCTCCAGACTGCAGAGAGAACGAGCTTAACATCAGAGGGACCCTGAGACAGTAAAGAGGCCGTAGTCAAGGATGCAGGTTTGAAACTGCCTGATTAAAGCTAGCCTAAGGGAATTTTGTCCCTGCTCACAAGTGGTCTGCCTTCATCTGCTGTGGTAATTTTTCTTCTTTTTAGCAGATTTGCTTGTAGCACATCTGGTAGTGATGCATTGACCCTGTCAATATTGAAAGATGCCATTGATAAATCAGCAGAAAATACGCCAAACCTCTTTGTTCCAGTGTGTGATGCGGATCGGCTTTACTGTGCGTAATACTAGCAGGGCATGGTTCTTTCAACAGCTGTAGAAAACTGATTGAAGCTGCTCCTTTCCACATGCTTGACTTGCTAGGGAATGAAAGCTTCAGGCTGCCGTTTGTGTGGAGTTTTTCAATATGTATGACCCAAACAAGGGGTCTGTTGAGAAAGGCTCTAATCCTCTTACATACGCACCTGGTATTCTGGTCTTCTCTCTTTCTGATGTTTCTGCACTTTCAGATATGCTAAGTCTACCTTTGAAGTTTCATTTCATCTTGTGTAAAATATACTTTAACAGGTTAAACCCTGCAGCTGGGAATTAGGAGATACTGGTTGAAACTAGACACTGAGCAGGACACTTAATCATCCCTTGCCTCAGTTTCCCCGTGTGTAATGCAGAAAGAGCAACATTCACTCTCCTGTGCACAGCTCTTTGAGCTTTGTTCTGAGTAACTAATTTAGAAGCTATAATGTAGTGTAGACCTTTCACAGCCAGGCATGAAGCCTTGGTGGAAGGTATCTGTCTGGGGATACTACAAATCCGTAGGTAAGGAGGAGAGGCTTCCCTGTTTCTGATGAGGAATTCACGGGCAGAAATATATCTGCATGATGAAGGGATCAGACCAGCTGTGTGAGTTCAGGGAGTCTTGCCCAGTCCTGCCAGTCCAACACTTGCACAGAGTCAGAAAATCTGTGTCTTAAGCAAAACTGATGATTTATTGCCTGTGGTCTGTATGCCAGTGATCCTTATGTGTAAAGCGTTGAGTTTTCAAGAACATTTGTATGTAATGGCAGACTGACTGTTTAGCTGCAAAGACACAAATGGGTGAGAAACTCGTGCAGCCAAAAACTCTTTTCGTAGACTATTTTTTTCATACAAGGATCTCAGGAAGGCTGGACTTTTCTGGCCTCCCTCTTGAGGTAAAGTGTGTAGGTTTTATGTGCCACCAGGACCTGAGGGAAGACAGATTTTAAGAGATGGGTATCTCTTAGAGGCATATGCAGCAGCCCTTCCCCTGGCTGGGACAGAAACTAGGGGATGTTTGTCCTGTTGTGTGACTGTATTTCCTTCTGAAGGCAGAAATATTTTTGAGTAGAGGGAGGAAAAATATGAGCTGTTTTCAAAATGAAAATGCTTTGTGCTAAGGTGCAGCAGGCTGGCCATCATTTCCCTTTGTAAGGGTTGGGTTTCCAAGGCACATTCAATTTTGGCATCTCTTGGAAGGAGATCTGAAAGGTTTTACCTGTGCAGAATACAGTGATTCTCTGCTTAGACAGGGTGTGATCCCATAGCTAGATAGGAGCTGGAGTGTTGAGTTTTGCTCTGATAGACCTCCTAGGAGACATATAGAGCTCTTTAAAACCCAGGTAACTTGCCACAAAACTGTCCAAGAGAGATCGTTATAAGACAGCAGTTATAAAACACTCTGAAAGGCTGAATAGGGTTTTTCCCCCTCTTGTGATATTTGGAGTTGAACTTTTGATACATCATTTTGAACATGGCCTTTTAAAGTAACTTTCTATTCTGTCCCTGTCATTTTTAGAGCTGTAAAGGAAAGCAAAAATGCCAGAGAAGGGGAGCAAATGAAAAGGGGGAGCAGGGCTAAAGGAGTAGGTTTTGATTGTCTTTGCAAGAAGTGACATCATCTATGAGAACAAAAGTCTTCAATCGCTGCGACTGGAGACGGCTTTTAGTCTCCAATTCTATTTTGCCCTGAGCCAGCCAGCCAAATAAAAACAGCGGGATAAATCACTGCTGGCAGAACTTAGCAGTTATGCAACATCCAGTGCACCATGCGCCTATTTTTAGATCGGTTTTACACTACCAAAATTTACTTTATGAAATCTAAAAAGAATGTCTGCTCAGAGGCCGGGGGATAAAGAGGGTATTTCGAAAGGGCACAATGGAACAACACTGACTACAAAGATGCACTAGCAAACCCCACTTTGGCAATATCCTTTCAAGACTGTTGGCTCAGTGGGTCGTGGTAATGAAGAGTAGAGGGTTGTTTTTTCACCAGTATTCCCCTGAAATTCTAATCTGCAATTGGTTTTTAAGTGGTTAACTATACTCACTTCACCCAAGTAGCCAAGTATATGTGGTTTACCTAAAGCTGGGCTTCTCCACCATTGACGCTGTACTTTGTCTTTACCAGATCTGGAATGCAGTGAGCAGCAGCTCACCTCCCCACAGCTCTGGGTGGTCAGATTGAAAGAAATCATGTTATCTGGAGTGCTCTGCAAAGCTGGCTGAGCTACAGAGATACTCCTCATCCTGTGTGAGGTGTCCGAGGTCTAATGAGCTTTTGATACTTACCTGGTCTATGTTTCATGTATTTTTCTGTCAGTCTTCAGTGAATTAGGATTGTCTGTGCTGCTCACTCCAGATCAAACTGGATCTTTTTCAGTGTTCACAGGAGCATAGACTAAGTTGTATTTCATTAGTTAAAAGCAATTTCCACTTGCAGCACAGGTATGAGTAGCTGAAGATTAGTCTCACATACTCTGCTTTTTATCCAAGACCAGATGTGCATCTTCTCTCCTTTAAATTTGACTTTATCCTCTTACTCACTGTGTTGTAATTCTGCGTTAGTTTGTACTGTGTTTCCAAAGGTTTTTTTCACAGATTAAGAACAGATAATGTCTGGGAGAAGTTTGACCTCTCAGCCTTTAGAGATTCTATCAGATAAAACATATTCAGCGTGGCTGACATGTCTTTGGGATTTCTGCCACAATTCGGACAGTTTTCAATCACGCCTTGAAGCAAATTAGTGTTTTGACCATTGCATGATCTGCATTGATCTTTTTTTTTTTTCCCCGAACCTTTCTTCTAGGTGACAATCTCGATGCTATCCATGACATAACCGTGGCATACCCCCAAAATATTCCTCAGACAGAGAAGCACCTTTTGAATGGAAACTTCCCAAAGGAGATTCACTTCCACGTCCAGAGATATCCCATAGAGACGGTGCCCACCTCTAAGGAGGAGCTGCAGCTTTGGTGTCGGAAGCGTTGGGAAGAGAAAGAGGAGAGACTCCGACACTTCTACGAAGGTGGAAAGAGCTTCAGTACGGCGGGGCAAAGCGTTATTCCACCATGTAAATCTGAGCTCAGGGTCTTCGCAGTCAAGTGCATCTCGCTCCTCTACTGGACAGTGTTCCCACTGGGTATGCTTATGCTGCTGTACCTGTACAGCTTTGCACGATGGTATTTTGCAGCCATGATCATCTTTTTTGTTGTGCAGCAAAAAATATTTGGTGGACTGGAACTAATTGAACTGGCTTGTCATCGATATTTTAAAAAACAGCAGAAATTTCACGACACGAAAATGAAAAACAATTAGTTCTGGGGCAGGGAAAGAAGTAAAAAATGGGTGGTTTTGAGATGTCCTGCACATTTTATGCACAGGGAAGAATTTTTGCATGAGAATTGTCTTTTACTATCGCCATTGTTAGACATTTGCACTTGATTCTGTGAAGAGAAAGAAAAATGTTAGTTATTGCTACACGTGAAAATGGTATTTTTTAATCTCTGAATGTAATTTCAACATTGCTCTTGCAAGCAGCTAGCAACTGCATTCTGCTGTAATTAAGAAACAAATTGCTGGATTATTGAACAATCGTAAGCTAAGAGAGACAGATGTATGATTTCTGTATAATCACATTGTCATAAAGTAAGCACCAGATTTGGAAAGCTGGTAAGTTTAATGATGTTTTGATGGGAGGTGGAAGTTGGAGGAGAAGTTGTTCTGTTTCTTTTTTCTATTTCAAATATTCAAACTTTATTTTAAAGTAATATTTTTGCATAAGCTTTCCAAACACTGCTGAACAGTACCACTATTGAACCATTCTGGCTTGGTCACTCAGAAGGATTTTTAAGCCTTGTAGTTTCGTGTTGCAGTACAAAAACCAGTGCTGACTCTGCCTCCGTTTAAGTCTTAACTGATTATTTAATAGATGTATGCAACTGAGTTTTGATTTCTCACTGTTTCGTACTGTTTTGTTCTCCTTGTTAGCTGTGGGACTCATTCCTATTGTAGTACACAGAGCTGCAGGATAAAGGAGCTGCTTTTTTGTTGTTTTATTGGTGTTTTTTTTCTGGTGGAAGCAAAAATAAGTGTCTGCGAGTAGCTGGCAAATGTTTTTTCAAAAAGGTCTCCTTGTAGACATTATGTGATTGAAAACATTTTATTTATTTTTCAGAGTAGGCAAGGTAGCTTTTTTTTCCGAGGCATTTATTTTGGTTTTCACATTGCTTCCTTAGACATTTCAAGTGTCCATATAGCAGGAAGACTGCTTGTTCTGTGCAGACCTATTGAAAGGCATCTGATGCAATGGTTGTCTCCTTATAGGTACAAGAGATGGATTTCAGACTTGCCACGGCACAGGGAAATTGAGTTATCTCTTCCCTTTGCAGTATTCTCTTTGCCTGATTACATCATTCCTTTTCCAGCCTCCTTTACAATTTTGGGGGTTTCTTTTGTACCTCCCACTATAGCACTTTCCTTTCTTTTGATGACATTCAGAAAATCTGAAGGCTTAAACTCTGATAAGGCACTTTCAAGTGTATTCCTTGTCATACAGAAGTAAAAGACGTGAACGTTGCCAGCTCTTAGGAGACACTTCAGGTTAGATTTGTTTTTCAACCTCAAAAATGTGAAACCACTTGATCAACTGTATTGCTGCAAAACCTTCCTGACTTACTAAATATTTGTTGTTTATTGCCTGAGACTTGTTTGAGCTAAGCCAGGATGGCCTGGCTCCATACATTGAGTGGCATTGCCATGAAATGTGAAAGCACAGAGTGCAAAATGTATCTTGTACTGTGCTGAAGATCTCAAGCATTGGGTCCGCATGGTAGGCAGATCTGTTTTCTTCTAAATTGCAACACTAAATATGTTGTCTAATGTGTTTGTATGAAAGGCCATTTTTGGAAAGAATCACCAGCCTCTGTTCAACGGTCCTTTGCAAGGTGACAAGTATTTTTTAATCTATGCTTATAATAGCTAATTGTTTATTATACAGAAAGTACTTGAAGCCATCCATTTTACTCTAATTTTTTTAGATCCCTTTTTTCTTAAGAATAAATAAAACTAGGTTTATATGTAGGGTTATTTTTCTTAATGATTTTTTCATATTTATATTTGAGTACCTGAAAAGACTGACAACTGATGTTTCATTGTCACAAGCGGAAGGAGGTTCTCTCTGCACTATGGGGACTTTTTTAAACATAATTCTGTGACATCAAAGGCATGGCTGCATCTTAAATCTACGTAGCCTGGTTTTTCTTCACCTAATACTCTGCTTTGGTGCAGTTCTTTGCACATCCAGGTAACTAGCCGCAAGGGAAAACCCAAAAAACCTCATATTTGGTTAATGCAGAGGAGAACGAAAAGGTTCTTCTAGCCTGTCCTGAGCCATGGCTGTGCTGTCACACCAGGAGTAACCATGGGCATCCTACTCCAATAGCCTTAACACAGTCTTCTTGGCGGGACAGGTTACATATGTTGGTGACATAAATACCAACTATGCTTTCCTCAGTTGTTCAGATAACTTTGTGGTGTTGTCAAATGTATCAGAAGCATCAGTGTGAGTCTTGGTCATGGACCGGTGAAAGATTTCTACTATCTGTTATGTCTGTGTGTGTTTATAGTTGAGCTCTGAAAATTAAATGAAATCAAATGCAATCATCATTGACCCTTACAGGGGGTTTTCTCCCAGCTGGAGCCAAACACGTAACCTAATGCAATGTGGAAAACATCCTGCGAATCTGTAATTCATCCTCCTCTCTCATGTTCTGATTGAAGAGGAAGAATAATCGTCTTGTCAGCTGCAAATGTCGCATTTGCAGTGTGTGACTCTGTGGTGCAGGGCAGCACATGATAAGTAAAGAATCCTCCTCTCCTAAGGAAGGGTATTGGCTTTGTGACTGACGTAAATTTTCAGATTATGTGCATCATTTTCCAGCTCAATTAGAAACGCAAGGCGGGGGGAAAAAATGAATAAAAAGAAAAAGCTTTGTGGATATAGAAGCCTCTTTGTTTATAAAGTGGTTAAGGAACTGGAGGAAGATCTTTCTGTGAATGCTTTTTTTTTCTCTTTGGTCAAAATGTAGCTTTTTACTGAAAAGGTTCAAATGTACAGATTTTTTGGAGACTGTTTTGTTCTTACTCTGTTTCCCTATGTGAAGTACACTATGATGGCACTTAGGGACATGGTTTAGTGGTGGACTTGGCAGTGTGAGGTTTACAGTTGGACTCGATCTTAAAGGTCTTTTCCGACCTAAATGATGCCGTGATTTTATGACAGGTCGAAATGGTTTCAATGCTGTTAGGTTAAAGGTGCTAGTACTCCAAGAATCACACCCCCCCTCTTTCATGGAACACGTATTGGGACCGAGACTCGTCTCACTCATTGCCGTGTTTGTCAGGGCTCACCTTCTCTCGTGGTCCCAGCAGCCGCACTGCTCGGCAGCGACTGCTCCATCTACGGGACCTACAGGTCTTGCTAGGTCCTGCTTACGTTATCTGAGATCAATGACATGCTTTAAGGATCCTGCTCTCATTTGCTCAATCAAATGCTTCCTCATCGGCATCAGGGGCTTCTTTCTCTCTGCTAAGAAGGGAAGGTTGAAATCCTGACATCTGTGTTTGTCATCAGGATCATCTGGGTAACAGGACATCAGGCCAAGACATTTCTCTCTTGGCTTCAAAGCTGCAAGGCCCCAAGCTGGTCTGTAAGGTGTTGTCCTGATCATACTAAATGTAGTTCCTAGTTTTGTGTACTGCATCAATCTGTATTGTTTAAAAAAGATCTGTGTTTTTATAACTTGATTTTATATGTACACCGTGTGAAAGGAAACACCAGGATACTACAAACCTATGAAAAAGCCTTAGTTTTCAGAGTCCACCGATTATATGAGAATGTTTTAACCATGTTCCAGTTACTCTACAGCAACAATAAAGACCTGAAGCATTGCATGGGTTTAATTTTTCCGTTTTCTTTTTACTGCGTGACGTATTCTCTTTGCACCCGTAAGGAGCAACCCTTGTCTTCAACCGTATGGCTGTCTGTCTTGGGCAGGCTGGTGTCCGTTTGGGTGCTGCACCTGTGGCTGTTGGGGTGGTACATCTCCTTCCTCTCCACGGGAGGCTGGAAAGGGGTGGCTGGCTGTACCCTGCCTTCTAGCCACTTCATGTAAAGGGTTACAGAAACCACAAGAAACAGACTCTGGAAGCAGGTTCTATGATATCTGCAGTGTCTACATGTGCTGAGAGCATTCAGATCAGTCCCCAAAGGCCGAAATGAGCCATGCTCTGTACCAAGCGGCTTGTCTCTCTGGAAGGATGGATGTCACTGCCTCTTTTTTCCCTCAGAGCTCAAATATGCAATGAAAAACTTGATTTCTCCATCTTACCTGCCATTACAGAAAATAATAATAAAGGAGGCCAAAGCTTTCACCCTCCAGCTGCCCCCAACGCCTCCTTCATAGTTCAGTACAACGGGTAAAAGGTTGGCTTCTTTCCTGAGGACTTTGAATCAGGCTGCAAGCTATCTCCACCAGAAATTATTCCTGGGAGCAGGGTGCACGGTCTGTGCTTATAACATGCTTGAGTGACTCTCCTCCTGGCAAGGGTTTGTGCTGAGACACGGGAAAGGTGGTGAGAGCTCACCTCTGTCCTGGCTGGGCCTCACAGAAGTCCCGGCGGCTTTAGCGGGAGTGGCGATAGGCCCTGAATTTTTAAGCAGATGTCTTTGTTTTATTCCAGCCTGGCTCTGTATGGTTTGTCATCCCTTTTTCTGGAGTTCTTCATCCAAGGTGTTTCCTCTGGTGGTGGGCTATGCAGGAAGCTGACAGGAGGAGTTTGAGCAAGACCCCGAGTTGTATGAGAGGGATCCGCAGAGGGGCTGGCGTGAGTGTGGTGGTTTTGGTGGTCAGCACCCCCTTCCCTAAATTTCTGTCTCCCTCTTGCTTGTCAGAGGGAGGAGGCCAGAGCCCCTTCGCCCTTGGCTGCAGGGAGCAGAGAAGCACCTTCAGCCTTGCCACAGGGGAGAGCTGGAGGGGCTCAGGCCTTAGCTTGGCTTCTGCATCCACAGGACAACACCAGCAGAGGAGGATGAGCTGCTGCAGGGTGCAAGAACATGGGAAGATGCCCCAGGAGGAGCGGGAGACAGCACTGGGCACGGCTTTCTGCAGAGCCATAACCCAGCACTAACGTCACTGACTGGTCTTGCCCTCTACCCCCCTGCTCTGTTTCTTCCCCTGCCTTCGAGTCTTGCCCAGCTGCTTGGGCTGCTGGGTGTCCGGTGAGTGGTGGAATGTATGTCGACAACACTGAACCCAAAGGGAAGGGGAATGTTGGGGATGACGGGATGGAGGTGCTGGGGAAGGTGTTGGCTCTGGGCAGCACTGGGTGCAACTGGTTGCCCCATCCCTGGAGGTGTTCAAGGCCAGGCTGGATGAGGCTTTGAGCAACCTGGGCTAGTGGGAGGTGTCCCTGCCCATGGCAGGGGGTTGGAACTCGATCTTTAAGGTCCTTTCCAACCCAAACCATTCAATGATACTATGGCTGGGAGTGTGCTTCAGAGGCTGAAGGAAAAGCTCTTCATTAAGAGACTTGT